CTGTCCTGTGAATTCACAACAAGTGTGCAAGTGGGCGTCATGTGTCATGACTCCTACATGCTCCATCCTCATGAAAACTGTATTTCTAGTCACGAGAGGCAGCAAACGATCCCCTGCTGTCTGCTACATGTGAGAAAGGACGACTGCAGATCCCAAAAATGTGGCTCGGTGCTACTGTTAGTTACTCATGTGTGAATATGGCTTCAGTTAAAATAAGGAAGACAAGAGATTTAGAGAAAACACATCTTGAGAGGTCCATTTAGTAGCTGGAGAGCAGCAGTAATAAAATATGATCTTCATCAACATCAAGAGATGTTGAAATTAAAATCGCTTACTAAAAATTTTAATGCTTCTTGTCCGTGCAGGAAAAAAGTATCAAAGACCTGCTCGTGAAGATCGTGCGAAGAGCTCAAATTCACTGACATAATAAAGCTATAAAGCTACTAAATGGTCTTGTGAGACTGTGAGAATCAGACAAAGAGTGGAGCAATAAAAAGGGAGAAGCAGGTGAAAATGAAAGAAAATATAATATCGGAAAGGGCGAACAAATTAGAGCAAGAAATGTCTCGTGTAGCAAGAAACTGACCTTAAATGTCTCGAAAGAGAAGAAAGAAGAATCCAAGAGAGAAAGGAGGAAATGAAAAAGTGAGAAAGACATTTTGTCACAGGAGGACAAAGACAGAAGGCACAAATGGATAATGCAAAAGGAGAGATTCGCTGTATATTGCATGAGGCATAAAAGAATAAAGGTAGAAGACAAGCTCAAGGCCAAAGACAGAGAGGACGTGAGGTGAAAATAGGCTTTAAAGGCGGCGAAAGAAGATGTTTCACAGCATAAATGACGTGAAAACAAAGACGTCGAGGAACAACGTAAAGACAGAAGAAAGGAACGAAGGAGAGGGAAGCAGTCAGTCAGTTTCACTAACAGTGAGGAGCAGTGCTTCTGTGCGTAGCCGAGCCCACTTTAATCTTCAAAGCATTTCCATGGAAGCAGCTCCCCAAGAGCCAATTTAAAGCTGACCTTTAACCAGCCACCTCTCTCTACCTCTTCATTCCCTCTTTCCTTTTCTTTGCTCTCCCTCTCAGGTCTCTTCCCCTCCTTCTGTTCGCCTCTTTGTCTACTATTCTCCACACTTTTCTTTTTTTCCCGTCTAGTTGTTGTTGCTTTTTCACCTTCTCCTCGCTGTTCAGGCTTTTCTTTCCTCTCTCTGTCCTCAATCTCGCCCTCCTCTCGCTCTTTCTCCTCGCTCTCCCTCACGCTCTCTGTTTACTCCCCTCCAATAAGGCTAAATTATCTCAAGGTTTCTCCCTGGCTGCCCTCCTTAGACAAAGAAGCCTTTATCGGTGTCCTTTCTGCAGCGCCGTCTGGGGAACGGCATCAAAAGGATCACGTTTCAGAGAAAGGCTGACGGGAGGCCATATTCCCTCTTTATGTGTCACAATGACAACTTTTTATTCACCAAAACTGACATTCAGGGTGGTTTTCTTTGAAAAAAGCAGGAATCTAATAATCAGACAGTAGAAGTGAATGAAAGATTCAGCCTGAATCTGCTTAACAAAGGGTTTTACGTTCCTCTGTGAAAGCGATCAGAGTCTGGGAAATAAAATCGTCCAGCACAGACGAAGTGACTGCTTCATGTTTAAAGTGCTCGCTGCCATCACTGCACGTCTGGTGCTGGTAATGAGGGGAGAAAATGTGCCACCATGGGAAGGTGAGACCTTAGCTGGCGTCACAGCTGTAAGATCATGAGATCCTACAGTCCTTCTTAGTAGATTCAGTAGTATAATGTCAAACGTGAGCTACAGCTTAAGGCAAGTCATCTTTGGGATGTCTGAAACTTAAGAGCAACACTGACTGAAGTAAACGTAGCCACAGTGACTGGTTGCGACATCGTGATGTAAAGCTTCTAGCTGAGCATTTTGAAATCAAACCTGGTAAAAGACAACGGACCAAAAGAACAGCCCGTTCTCACTCCCGAGGCGTAACATGCCGACGTTTTGTCACGTCCCGCGGCGTTCCTGAGGAACGCGAAAGGAAACCGCGGCGGGTTATGGCCGAAATCCAGTGCAATGACGCTCCCGCGGTAATAGACGTTCCAGCCCTGTATTCCAGGCCTAAACCTAACCTTATCCCTAGCCCTAACCATAACCTTTTTCCTGATCTTAACCAGGACTTTAATGATGTTAAATAGCGTGTTTCTAAGCGTTTTGAAGAAAAAGAGCGAACATGTGTAGATTGAGTCCATACGGTTCTCATATTTCCTCATTTTTCCGAGGTCGTCCCTTAGGAACGTGGTGGGTAGCCGAAAACGTAATATGTTGACGA